TTGGGGAAGCCAATGAGATACTCCAGAGAAGGCCCTAGCAGATAGCTGAAAAAAAGAGCTCAGGCAAAGCTGGGTCTAGAGATACCAATAGGGATTCCTATGCACAGATGTGATAGGCAAAGCTGTGAGAACATCTATCCTACATAGAAAAAGGACAGAGGAATGAAAAGAGGGAATGTGAAAAGAAAATTGGAATTGCCTATGCTTAGAAGGTTAGGCAAAGAAACAGGAAGAGTAAAGAAAAAGTGTTACAGAACTACAATTGTGTTAAAAAAAAAAAAAAGGACATGGATATGTATAAATAACAGAAAAAGACTGCGCACGCACACAAAAAGTAGACTTTGCATTAAGGCTGCTTGCTTCTAAGTAATCCTCATCTTAAAAACAAAAAATCCCCACATTATTTATCTAGCTCTGCTAAAGCAGAAAGCTACTAAGATGATAGTGCAAATTTCAGCCTTAGGGAATTTAGTCTAATTCTTGCTTTCCAAACCTAGCTAATCATTACATTACCTGGAAAGCTTTTTAAAAGTATAGGTTCCAGAATGATTTAGTAGGTATGAAGTGGACAATATTTGGGATTCACCGGTCCAATATGCACAATTTAGCACATGACTAGTAAATCTGGAATTGGCATTCAACTATTTCTCATCAATTACTCTGCCATAAGCTAAGTGGTTTGAACCATCACTGAGAACTCTTGACAAAAATGACTCCAATTATCCTGAACTCCCCAAGTAATTCTGATGATCAGCTGAATGTAGAACTCCTGGTTATGATAAAGAAGCTTCCAAGTCTAAATTTCTAGGTATTTACTATAGTTTTGTATCATACCCTTTAGGACAGAGTTCACCATTCTTCCTTAAAACAGTGTAATGACAGCAGCCTCATTGTTAAATTATTAGTAAAATTTATGTTAAATTTCTATTACTTGTTGAGCTGCATCATAGGCTAATAACCACATTTTGCAAATGTCTTGACTTCTAAAGATTTGAGTTTTGAAGGAATTTAGTTACTTAGTACACAATATAATTTTTTAATGTTATTCTGAAAAGTGAGGCAATTTTATAACAGAAAATCCATTCTCCCAACAGGCACACAGGATTTGATGAAACTTTATATTATTATCTACTTCATCTCTGCATTGTCATTTCCTCCTGGAAGACTTTCCTGATACTCTAAGTTGAGGTACATTTTCCTGTGGTAATTTTATCTGTGCCACTTTTATGGTAATTATTTTATCCCTCTATTAGAGGCAAGCAACTTCCATATAAGAAGTGTATGTGATTAATCTTTATAGGCCTCACTGTGCCCAACTCCCTTCTATGAAACCACCCCACCTTCAGGTATTTTCTAAGTCCCCTAATTATCTCCCTATAACTGCTTTCATAACATATAACTGTAATCATTAGTTTATGCCTTGTCAACTAGACAACGTGCTCCTTGAAGGGAGGTACCATGACATATTCATCTTTGTATAAATTAGCTACTACCACTGACTTTGAGAATTCAAATATGTTTTGTTGAAAGAGCCAGACTCATCCTAATACTTTTTTTGGTGACAGAGTCTAGTTCTGCTGTCCAGGCTAAAGTGCAATGGCATGATCACAGCTGACTGAAACCTCAAAATGCTGGGCTCTAGCAATCCTCCCACTTTGTCCTCCCAGGTAGCTGAGACTACAGGCATGCACCACCATACCAGGTTAATTTTTAAATTTATTTTTGATAGAGATGGGATCTTGCTATGTTGCTCAGCCTGGTCTCAAACTCCTGGGCTCGCTCAAGCAATCCTCCCATCTTAGACTCCCAAAGTGCTAGGATTCCAGGTGTAAGCCATCCTGCCCTGCCCACAATAGTTTTTAAAAGTTGACAAGTTTTACGGCCGGGCACGGTGGCTCACACCTGTAATCCTAGCACTCTGGGAGGCTGAGGCGGACGGATTATTTGAGCTCAGGAGTTTGAGACCAGCCTGAGCAAGAGCGAGACCCC